CCTCCTAAGGCCCGAGGTGTTCCCCGAGGTCGATCCTGACCCCCAGGGGTGGCACCCACCCCCGCACCGCGCTCCGCCGCCGCTGGCCCACTGGTGCAGCAGGCGACGCGGGCCCGCCAGCGGAGCTGGCCGCGTCACGCGCTCTGGGCGTGACCCGTCCCCCCGAGCGGCTCGCTCCCCCCTCCCCCTCTCTCGGCCGCCTCCTTTTCGGAAATTGGAGCATATACATTTCCAGTGGCGGGCTGTTGCTCAATCACAGGACTTCTTGAGGGTCGAGGACGACGCTGGGGTGGTGTGGTGTATACATTTTTCCCCGATGTCCTGGGGAAACAACAAAACATGTATACACCAGGGTCCAGTATACACCAGGATCCGCTCTCCAGTGCAAAATCCAATGCAGGGCCGGAAGAAGCGTCGGTGTATAGAGTTCGATTCCATACTTTTGCCTCTTGCCCCCCTGCATGGGGGCACACTTCGCTTCAACGGTATCCCCGTTCTGGCCCTTTTCGCCAGCACAGACGACCCCTGCCTCGCCGCCGACGTAAAAGTGTGTGTGTCCCCAAATTCGAGTAGGGGATAGACTACATAATCGATTTGCCCCAGATTGACTTCCCGTCGAATCTACGAGGCATGCCTGCAATGCTCCGTGGATTCAGCGACTATTCTACGCAGGTTGCTCGTGGGTTAGACGAGAAGCTCCATGTGGAAATAAATCGATTTTGTAGTCGATCACGTACACGACAAGTCTAGGCCTCCCAGATGGGGTCCGAGCAGGTGGGGTCGGATCAATTCGCCGCATCGCCGATGCATCCGCGGTGCGGCTCGATGCGGATCCCGATTTTTGTCCACGCCGAGGTTGCCGATGCATCGCCGACGTCGCCAGGGCATCGCCGATGCATCGGCGATGCGGCGCGATCCTCCGACTCCACCTGCCCCGACCACATTCGAGAGGCTTCTACCACGGGCTTCACGGTTTCGCTAATCAATTTGTGGGATCAATGTCAAGGTTAAGCCCGTGCGCCGGAAGACGAGCCCATGAAGGGCGCACGGATTGGCATTCGGCAGCGTGCCATACACGCGCGTGCCACGATCCTAGCTAACGCTACGTGCGTCTACAAAATGAAGGAAACTCATTCACATGGCGTGGCCTGTGCCTCGCGTTTGAAAAGCATCTGGATATCGATATCGCCATTAAGAACGACTTCGGGGATCAAGCCAGATGTCGACTGGCCTTCGGCCCTTCCTGCCACCGTACCTGGGCTGTGGGCCATAGGCCTCAAGGATATTCATTGGGATGTCGCGGGAGGCCTCTCTGGGGCCTCTTGGGCGCCATTTTGAAGCCTCTTGGGGACCGTTTTGGGCCCTTTTGGGGAGTGTCTTCGGGGCCTCTTTGGGAGTCTTTTGAGATTTCTCGGGGGCCTGGGGCCTGCTAAGGGCTTTTCTGGGGTAGGAGATTCGGATTTTCGTCTCGTGTTCCACCTCTTTGCTTTTGTCTTCTCGTTCCTTGACAAGCTACAAGCGCTGACAAAACCAAAAAACGCAACGGATGTTTAGCGCTTCTAGCTTCGTTGTTGTTAGCGTTTTAAGCCCGTCGTTGTGGATCGATCCTTTATTAGCGTGTTTTGCTTCGGGTCGAAGGATGTTCCTTGTCTTCCCTGATGCCTTCACTCCCGCTTCTTCGCTTCTGCCGCCGTTCTCCCTCTCAGAGCTGACAACGCTCCCCAACAGAAAAACACTGCAACATTGGTCTAACACCAGCCCAAAACAGGCTCGGAGGCCCGATGGCCCCAGGAAGCGCAACCGGCCGTCGGGCTTGGAGGCCCGACATCTGCACGAACGAGATGGGCACGGAAAGAACGGGTACAATGCCCAACAGCAGTTCATGTTCATCTTGAACAGGACTCGCTGTCCGCGCCGCCGCGGCCTGTGTCCATTTGAGACAGAAGGCCGCCTGCCCAACAGCGGCCGCTGATGGTTTGGGACAACATTGGTTGTTGGGCATTGTGCCCATTCTTTCGGTACCCATTTCGGGTGTCCAAACGACACCCCAGCCAGCAGCGAGGGCAAGAGAAAAGCAAACGAAACAACAATACTCATCACAGAACTATAGAGAGGACTACACGCCAGGGGAAGGAACTGACGACGTCGTAGACGGCAATGATAAACAATGCAACCAGCTGAATTGAAATCGCAAAACAGACGCAGCCAAACACGCAGAAGCATGATTCGTTGTTTTAGCGTTTTTGATTTTCTCTTGGGGACCTAAAAACGCAAAAACAAGGATTTCCAACACGCCGAGTAAAAACGGTAAGGGGGCCTCTAGGGCCGTACTGGGGCAGTCTTGGGGGCCTCGTGGGCCGTCTAGGAGCGTCGGGAGCTCGAAAAGTCGAGGACCCCAAAAGGAGAATCAATGATGGTGGCATTTCGGGGTGTTTCTCGAAGGCCTCTTGGGTCTTGGGCCGTCTTGGGTCTATCTTGGGCTTATTGGTGCGATCTTTCGGGGTCTCGGGGCCCTCTTGGACACTCTTGGCGGCCTGTTGGGGCCCTCTTTGCCCGTCTTTTGCCGCTCTTGGGTCCGAAAAGTCACGCGAGAAGTCGCGACAACCCCCTGATAAGGCGCGCCAAGCCCCGCCAAATCTGGCAATTTGGGCTCCGGTGCCCTCGAAGACTCTCAGGAGTGAAGGCTGAGGCGCCCACTCCGTGCCCAGCGGCACGGCGGCAGATGCCAAGGCAAATGCATGTAATTGAATGTCGGCAAATCCAGGTCACGCCTGACAAGTGCAGGTACGTCCTGGCAGACCCGGGTACATCGAGAGCTGCACGCCGCGGCCGGTCCAGCGCGAGTCGAGGGACGGCAGAGGTCGTCAAGCCATGAACGATGTGTCTCCTCGGTGGGCTGCCAGGCGCGGTCGGGCTCCACAGCTCGCCATGAAGCAGGCGGGCCTCGAGGGAGGCGCGGCCTTCGGAGGAGGGCGAGCGGAGGCAGCTGCAGCTGGGCTTCGGGGGGCCCCCTCGTGGCCACGGCTGGACGCCGCGCGGAGAGTTGGGGCGCGTGTCGGCGGCGTGTTCCCTCGACGGGCGGTCAGGCGCAGGCGGAGTCTACAGTCGGGTGCTGTCATGTAAGCCGAGGGCCTGGAGTAATCGGCAGCGCGCAGCAGGGGGTAGGGGGAGGGGGGAAGGCTTCTTAGAAGCACCCTGCTTCGTAGAAGGCCTCGGCCTTACGTCTATAGAGAAGGCCCGCGCCTTCTAAAAAGCAGGGGTGCTTCTGAGAAGCCTTCCCCCCTCCCCCTACCCCCCTTCTGCGCGCCGCCAAAGTAAGGACCACCGTGGGTGCAGGAAGGGCTCCAGTCTTCGTTCACGTCCTGAGCCGAGCCTCGCCGTGGCCAGAACAGCTGGCGCGCTCCTCTGCCAGCGCTCCGTGAGGCAGCACGACGGCCCCCTGGCCCAGGACGGCCCCAGGACTCCCAGGGAGGCCCTGGCGGCCTCCAGAGCGCCCCATCACGAGGCGCAGGGGGGACCCAGGGCATCCCGAGGGGAGCGAGACGGCGGGGACACACTGGGCCAGGGACACCTTCTGGCAATCTCGGACGCGGCGAGGAAGGACTCTTCGTCCTCCTCCTCCCCCTCCTCCTCCTCCTCCTCCTCCTCCTCCTCCTCCTCCTCCTCCTCCTCCTCCTCCTCCGCCTCGAGGGATGGAGGAGGTGCGAGGAGCAGGAGGAGGACGGCAGAGGCCAGAGGGCGAGGCGTGAGAGAGGAGCACCATGAGCCTCTCCGAGGAGGCCAGAAGCAGCCTGGAGGCCGCGGCCCTCCGCCCTCCATCCACCCGCGCCTCCGCAGGCTCCCCTCATCCGCCCCCCACCCGCGTCTGCCCCCTCTGCTCCCCGTTGCTCCCTCCGCCCTCCGCCCTCAGCTCTTCTCCCCCCCTCCGCCCTCCGCTCCCTTCCTGCTCTCCCTCCCTCCGCCTCCGCCCCCCGCCTCCTCTGCGCCTCTGCTTCTCTCCCCTCCGCCCGCCCGCCTCCCCCCTCGCCCTCCGCCCGCCCGCCGCCTCCGCCGCCTCCCGGTCGCTCCCCCTCCCCCCCGCGGGAGGAGGAGCGGCGGGGAGAGCAGCGGCAGCCGCCAGCCCCCCCCCCTCCCCGCCTCCGTGGAGGCGCAATATGTCACGTGTTCCACCCCTGATACTTCTGTGGCGCTGGCCGCCTGAGTAAGCTTCCAGCTAGCCGACCATGTCTGAGGCCACGGCCTCACCCGCTCCGCCCTGAAGGGCCCCGGGCGATTGCCCGCACGAGCGTCCCATTCCCATTCCCCCTCCCCGCCTCCGCAGCAGTCTTGGCCAGAGCGCCCTCGTTGTAGACGGGCCCCGGGCGGGAGGGCCTCGGCTCCTGCGCCTGGGCTTCCGTGGGCTCGATGGACGTTTCCGCCTACTATGCCGCGGAGGACGTGCCGGAGACGAAGGACTACCTCATGCAGCAGGTCACCACCCCCCAACCCACCCCAACCCAACCCGAAGACCCTGATTTGCCCTCCATTTCCAGTGGGGGCACTTTCTGGGAACATTTGGAAAAACACAAGGAACCCGTATCCCCCCAACCCGAAATTCGGGTCTTCGGGTTGGGTTGGGATGGTCTGGTAGGTAGTCAGCAGGTGATGGTGAGGGTCAAGGACCCCGTGAAGAGCCTGGATTTCTACACCAAGGTACTCGGCTTTCACCTGGTCATGCATCGCGATTTCCCCCAGTGGGGCTTCTCCGTCTACTTCGTGGCCTACTGCAAGAAGGCCGATATCCCGGAGGGCGAGGAGGCGCAGTGGAAGTTCTGCATGAACTGCCCAGCGTGCGTCGAGCTCACTTGGAATCACGGCAGCGAGAAGGAGGAGGGCGACAAGCTGTACAACACAGGCAATTCCGACGCTACGGGGACCAAGGACGGCGAGAAGATCAAGGGCGGTTTCGGCCACCTCGGCATCACCGTGCCGGACGTGTACGCGGCCTGCGAGCGCTTCAAGGCCCTCGGGGCCGAGTTCCACAAGTCCCCGAACAGCGGGGGCATGAAGGGCCTGGCCTTCGTCAAGGACCCGGACGGCTACCTCATCGAGGTGTTGCCGCAGGGGCCCATGGTGTCCCAGGCAGTCGACTGCAACGGCGTCGCGGTGGACGGCGGAGAGGGCTACAAGGACAATAGCAAGTAGCGAGAGAGCCATCGGGGGCGCCGGCCGACCACCCCTGCGCGCTGTGTAGTCGAGGCGTCGTTGGAGCCTTCCGGCCCATCTCGCCACCGTGCTGTTCCTTTGGGCCTTTCGCGGTGCAGCCCTCCTCAGAGGAGTAACATTTTCCGATGCCGCTACCCTTGCCTCGTTTTTGCCCCTTTGAGCCTCCTGAGAGGCCCTCGTCGCCGCGGCTGGATTCGCTTGGAACTTCTGGCCAGAACGCACTCCTGGAGAGGTCCGTGGTGTGCGTAGCGGCATCTTTTTGTTTCCTCAGTCTCCGAACGCCTTGAAAACCACAGGGACCTTCGGTGATTGTTGACCTCTAAGAAGCGCTCAAGAGCGACTGGAGATCCAGAGTCGTAGCCCCTTGGAAGAAGCTTTACAGTGCTCCACAGAGGGCTCGAAGGGATCTGAGGACACTAAATTGAGTGCCTAAGGCATGGTGGCAAATCTGGCGGCGTTCGGCCCCTTCTTTCACCGCGCCTGGGTTGTAGGTCGAGGCGCAGTGGGAAAGCTTGGGTCAAGGTCGCAGCGCATCTCCAACCGTGAAGGCCGGACGCTGAACTGAGGACCGGTTTGGTTCGGACGGGCTCGTTGGTCCTTAGGTCCTTCCAGGGCTGTCCCTCCAGCGCTCCTCGTGACCCTGGGTGCCTGTGGAGCCAAAGGAGGGGTTCGTCTTTCACGTGGCGGGCTCCACGCTCCCCGAGGGGGAGCCGCCAGAGGTGGTTCTCCAGCCCCTCTCACCCGACGAAGGCATCTATACACCACCACCGTGCCAGGCCAGGGCCATCCTGGGCCCCAGGATGGTTTATAGACCCTCTTGGCCTCGGCCAGGAGGGCGTATGCACCATCCTGGGGCCCAGGATGGCCCTGCCTTGTGTTGTATAGATGCCTTCTGCGAATCTCACGCCCAGATCGTGGGGATGCATCGGGCGGCACGCTCGCGTGGTGGCCCATGCACTTCTGCTCTCAGCGCAGGCGAGGCGCTGGGCTAAGCACCCCGAGGGGGAGCCGCCAGGGAGGCCGCACGGCCCCGCGCCCAATGACAGTACCAGCAGCAACGCAGGACGCCGACAGGCGCCTAATCTCACCAGGCCCGTGCCCTGCGCATCGAAGCCGAACTGCTGCCGAGGTCGCTCGCTCGCTCCTCCTCCTCCTCCTCCTCCTCCTCCTCCTCCTCCTGCTTTCAGAACAGACCGTGGGGACGTCTCGGGCGAGGCGCTGCCTTCGGCATCCAAATGGGGGAGTCGCCAGGGGTGGTTGTGCACGGCCCCCCTCGCGTCCAGAGCGTGGCAGGGTCTCACTCGGTGCGCCTGTTTGGTGACCCGGGCTCCTGCTGTCGCGCCCAGAGTGTGGGGATGCCCCAGGCGGTTCGCCTGCTTGGCGGCTCGGGCTCCTGCGTTTTCGAAACAGATGGTGATGATGTCTCGAGCGAGGCGGTGGTTTCCAGCACCCGATGAGGGAGCCGCCGGGGAAGGACACTCGCCCCTTCGCGGCAGGATTGTGGGGACATCCCAGGTGTTTTGCCTGGTCCGGCGCCTCGGGCACTTTTGCTGTCAAAGCAAATCGTGAGGATGTTTTGAGCGATTCGCTCGTTTTACACCCCCGTCTCATCTCCACGCAGAGCCCATGATCACATCGATCTAGTGAGAAGGACGGCCGCCAGGGAGATGAAGGACGGAGGAGGAAGGAGGAAGGCAACGGGAGGAAGGAGGACGAGAAGGGAGGGGCTACGACGAGGAGGAAGAGGACGGAAAGGGAGGGGGCGCCAGTGACGGGGGACACTTGCCTGGGAGAGGGAGGAGGGAGGAGGGAGGGCGGAGGAGAAGCGAGGACGAGGAAGAGGAAGGAAACGGACGCAGGAAGAGGGAAAAGGACGGCCGCCAGGCAGGAGGAGAGAGGACGCATGAGGCCGAAGGGCGCTGGAGGAGGGAGAAGAGAGGAGAGGAAGAGAAGTGCGTGGCTAGACGAGGTGGTAGAGGAAGGAGAGGGGGGTGGGCCCGCTCACCGCCAGTCTGTCTGTGACTCGTCGTCAGCGTCCCTCATCGTAGCTGCCGCCGTCGTCGTCGCCGTCGTCGTCGTCGTCGTCTTACCATCGGCCACTCCTACTGCCCCTCGCACCCAGACAGTCGCAGCCAGGAAAGTGCTAGGGAACGGCATATGCACACCCGCGCCGAAAAAAATGCGCTTCTGGAGGGGAGCAGGGCGGATTCCCGTCCGTGTTCCTGGGACGGAGTGCGCCAGACGTGCTCACCTGCATCGATCCTGGACGGGCCGATCTTGGGCCCGGGATCGTTGCAGAATTTGCCCCCCCGCGCGGGCCAGGAGGGCGTGTACACTGACATTGGGCCCAGGATGGGCCTTCGGGTCTCAAGAGGCGGGGGTCCATACAAACGGGGTTCAGCCAGGGCGCTGGATCTTGCAGGATCCTGCAGGGCCGGGGGCGATCTAGCCCAGGCTTGGGCGCAGGATCCTGCAGGATCCTGCAGGATCCCGCAGGGCCAGGGTCGCATTGACCCGGGCTTGGGCGCAGGATCCTGCAGGATCTTGCAAGGCCCGATTGACCCGGGTCTGGATTGACCTGGGTCAGAAGATCCCCGAGCCTTGGCCAGGATTGGCGTGGCGGCTTAGGTTTGCAACTGGCACCACCTTGCTGGGGTCCGTTCGCGTTCCTTCTGTCGGGGCTCACCTGGGAGCCTCTGGGGACGTCTTGGGGTGCTCTCGAGGGCGAAAGGGCGATACGACAAGCCACTGCCAAACCAGAAGGCAACGCAAGTACGGTTATCATTCCTTTGCCTGGCCCCCAAGCAAGGGCCCTCCGGAACAGGGCCCAAGACAAGCCCCTGGGGATGTCTTGCAGCATGCTGGACGCCCAGCCGCGGGGCTCCGACAGCCCTGCGAGGAAAGCCCTGCGGAGCGAGGCCCCCGGCGCAGAGGCCAGCAGGAGCCATCGGGGCTCAGCAGATGAGGGTCAATACAAAGGTGGCCAGCCAGAGCGCCGCATTTTGCAGGATCCTGCAGAGCCAGGGGCTTCATTGACCCGGGCTTGGGTGCAGGATCCTGCAGGATCTCGCAGGATCTCGCAAGGCCTGACTGGCCCGGGTTTGGGCTGACCTGAACCAGGATCTTGCAGGATCCTGCAGAGCCAGGGGCTTCATTGACCCGGGCTTGGGTGCAGGATCCTGCAGGATCTCGCAAGGCCTGACTGGCCCGGGTTTGGATTGACCCGGGCCAGAAGGTGCCCGAGGCCCTCGGCCACGGCCGTCCGGAGGTCCGGAGCCCGCGGCCTCGCAGCGGCTCCTCGGGGTGCCCGCGGGGGCGCTCCCCGCCCGCTCCGAGCACCTCGCGAGAGCTTGGCATCGCTCGGACGTGTGCATCTTTCCCTCGCCGAGGGCCAACGAGGAGCATCCTTGACTATTTGGCGAAACATCCACGCACGAAACCGAACAAAAACACGGGGAATGGACGTCCGAGCGATGGCCAGTGGTCGGGTGCCCTCCCGGCGCTCCCCGCCCGCTCCGAGCACCTCGCGAGGGGGCACGCCCCGCCACGGGGGCGCCGACGGCCCTGCGCGGAGGGCGCCCCGCGGGGCGAGGCCCCCTGGCGCGGAGGGGCCCGCAGGCCGTCTGGAGGTCGGGAGCCCGCGGCCTCGCAGCGGCTCCCCGGGTGCCCTTTGGGGGTGCTCCCCGCCCGCTCCGAGCACCTCGCGAGGGGGCCTCGGCCAAGACCGTCCAGAGGGCGGGTGCCCTTCGGGCGCTCCCCGCCCCTTGGCATTGCTTGGACGTGTTTTCCTTCGGCGAGGACCATCGCGGAGCATCCTTGATGATTTGGCAAAAAACCACGCACGAAACCGAAAAGAGCACAGGGAAAGGACGTCCGAGCGATGCCCAGGTCCGCTCCGAGCACCTCGCGAGGGGGCACGCCCCGCCGCGGGGCGAGGTCCCCCTGCGCAGGGGGGCCCGCAGGCCGTCCGGAGGTCGGGAGAGCCCGCGGCCTCGCAGGGGCTCCTCTTACCAGCCTCGAACGTATCCCCATCCCTAAGATTGACACGCCTAAAGGCGATGACAATCTTAGGGATTCGCCCTCAAAAAATAGGGGAATCCCTAAGAGTGGCATCGTGATGAGGAGGTGCCCAGCATATGGATAGGGATATGTTCCAGGCTGGTAATCCTCGGGGTGCCCTTTGGGGGCCTCAGGGTGCCCTTTGGGTCAGGATGCGAACAAACACACAGACACAATTAATCGTCGATTCCCAGGAAAATGTAGAAAAAATGGGAGGTGGGGGGGGAAGACGAAAAACCAGAAAACATGGGGAAAAAATGGGGAATCCTTTTGTTTGTGTGTATTTATTTGTGTGTCCCAGGGCCCCTTCATTGGGGCTGCTCCCCGCCCGCTTCGAGCACCTCGCGAGGGGGCACGCCGCCGCGCGCCAGCGGCAGGGGCGTGGAGCCTGTTCGGGGCCAGAGAATCGAGGGTCGGTAGCCTCGAGACGGGGGGCAATGCAAACGAAGGGGGAGGAGGGGGAGGAGGAAGAGGAGGAGGTGGAGGAGGGGGAAGAGGAGGAGGAGGAGGTCAGCCAGAGCGCTGACCTTGCGGGATCCTGATCCTGCAGGAACCTGCAGGACCATGCAGCATCCTGCCAAGCCCGACGGACCTGGGGCGAGGAGGAGGAGGAGGGGAGGAGGAGGAGGAGGAGGAGGAGCAGGAGGAGCAGGAGGAGCAGGAGCAGGAGCAGGAAGCAGGAGGAAGGAGGAGGAGGAGGAGGAGGAGGAGGAGGAGGAGGAGGAGGAGGAGGGGGAGGGGGAGGGGGAGGAGGAGGAGGGAGGAGGAGGAGGAGGAGGAGGGGGAGGAGGAGGAGGAGGAGGAGGAGGAGGAGGAGGGAAGAGGAGAGGGCCCGTAAGCTCGTGAGAATCGTCCAGTGCCCGGGGTGCTCGGGAGCGCCACGGGCCTGGCGAGGCCACCCCGGAGGCTGCGCGCCAGAG